AGAGTGCCACACTCTACCCTGATGATGAGACAGGGCCAGCATCCTTGCCCTTCAGAGTTCTGGCTCTGTTTCCACACCTAGGACCTCAAAACAACAGACCCCACCCAATGGCACTGTGTGGGGGCACAACAGTAGACTTCGTGGGAAAACTCGCATCGAGGAGTCCCGTTTCCACCGCCGCCTCTGGCCCTGGCTCCTGCAGGAGCCTGCTTCCACCCGGCCCAGCCCCCAGCCAGCCAGGCCCAGCGGCTGTGTCCAGGGCTTCCCGCAGCTGACGCAGATCCCGCGTGAAGGGTCACGGGGCAGCCAGAGTGTGGCTGGGGGAGTGCCCCTCCCCTGTTCCTGTCCTACAGGAGAACTGGGGGTGGCGCCTCCCAGAAGCAGCTGCCTGCACCCGCTGTGGGCAGGAGAGCAGGCAGCCCTAGGCAGGCCACCCTGCAGAAGGAAGGAGACCCGGCAGCCCCTTCTTCCTGAACTCTTGCCTCTCTCCTGCTCCGCTTTTCCTGAAAGCCGAGTCTGTCTGCATTGGGCAATTGCAAATGGTTTACGTGGGGAATGTCAGCTGCCCACATAGGAAAATACACACATCATTAGGCCTAAGTGCTTGCGTCTGGAGATAGCGCGGACGGCCTCCCGGGCTGACCTTTTGTCCACTGACGGAGCCACTGCTAATGAGCACTGAGCTCCTCGTGGGATGTTTTCATATGTTGAAGCGAAGCATATGTTGGCCATTAGCCTCTGTGGGGTGGGGGTGGGGCATACGTGCCACAGTGCTGTTGCTACACGCAGCGCTTGCCCAGACACACAGCGGTCACTGCGACTCCCCATCAGCCCCGGGACCTCCCGGGGGGGCTTGCTCGGGCCACAGACACCCCCTCATGCTGCTGAGGACTGGCATCCTGGGAGTCACGGTGGTGCTCAGGGATAAGCTGACCAAGTTACCTGAGTTTGAACCCGGCTAGCTGTGTGGTCTTGGACAAGTGACACGACTTCTCTGAGCCTTTCCTCCGCCTGTAAGATGGAGGCAGGGACAAAATCTTTCCTGAGGGGGTTGGGTGAAGCCTGCCTGCTCTGGGACCATCTTGGATGAGGTTGTACTGGGAGTGGACTGCGACTCCCGGGTGGGGTTGGATGTGCCAGGCTGGGGCAGGAAGGGCTTCTTTCAGGACGTGAGCAGACGCCCAGAGGCTGGAACGTGGAGCTTGCCCAGGACGTGGTGGGTGTGGAGGCTGAGCTTGGGCAAGCAGCGGGCAGGAAGGGAGTCGGGTTAGGAAGGCAGCTGGGGGCAGGTCCAAGAAGGTCCTGGCCTTGGCCTTTTGTGGTGGGGATCCCTGCTGCCGCATGGGGGGTAAACGCCCGTGAGGGCCGCTGTGTCAAATGCAAGAGCCAGTGGCAGCATAGCGCTGACCGGCCCTGCCGCTGGTCAGGCCAGGGAGAAGGATCCTTGGAACCGGGCAGTGAGCGGGCTGGAGAGGAGGCCGAGGGTGTGGGGACATCAGGGCTGAGGGCGTGGGCACGCGCCTCCTGGACAGGGCACAGGCCAGCCCCAGCTAACATTATCTGGATGGCCTTGCCCTGCGGAGCGCCCCGCCCCCACTTCTGGCCTTGCATCTCTTTCACCTGTCCAGATCCCACCTACTCCTCAGGGCCCAGGGCACCTTCCCAGCTCATCTCTTATTCCTCCCCTGAATTGTTAGTGCAGAGGCCGCAAGCCTAGCCCCGAGATGCCTCACCCGGTGATTATTTCAGGAGCGCCATCTGACCTCCCTGCTCTTGGGAGCCCCAGGACTGGTCTACCTGTGGGGCCTCTGGGCCTCCATGCTTAGCACGGGCCTCGGTGGTGCCACCTTGTGGGCAGACTCTGGGCTGGGGGCAGCTGGATGGCAGAGCTAGGTGGGTCCTCTGTCTGCCTGCCAAGGTGGTGCTGGTATCCCAGGGAGGCTTCGGGGACCGAGCGCTAATTGGGGTACAGATAGTCCGGGTGGGGAAGCACAGGGGCCTCTTGTGAGGCTGCAGCTATGACCTGGGAGCGGGAAGCCCGGAGCAGCGGCAGACCCGAGGGGTGCTGGGCTGGGGCGGCTCCTGCCTTCCTGTGGGTCACCTCTGTGCTCGGGTCACCCCAGGTCTGGCATGGTGCAGGCCCAGTCTGCGCGCTCGTGCTCCAGGACAGGTCCTCAGTGCTGAGCCCCCCGGCGCTGCCTCCAGCACCTCCATGTGTCCACTCCTTCATGGTCATCACTGCCCTGGGACGGTGCTCGTGTTTGCAGAAGTTTCTGGGTTTTGGTTTTTTTTTTTTAAGATTTATTTATGAGTGCACACAGAGCTGGGGTACAGGCCAGAGGTGCAGGGGCGTGCGAGGATTCATGGAGACAGAATGGGGAGCAGAACAGGCAGATCGAGGAAGTACACTGCTGAGGGGAGCAGCGGGCGGGTCAGGAGAGGTCTGCCGCGGCATGTGGTCACCTCCGGGGCAGGCAGGGATCCAATTCATGCTAAAGTGGCTTTCGCTTCTTAGTGCTTTAGCCCACTGCGCCACCAGGGAAGGCCCGGTTTCTGTCTTGATGGAGCAGAGATGAGCGGCCTGGCCTGGGTCAGGATCAAGGGCGCTGAGACCGAGTGGGGGTGGGGTGGGGGGCAAAAGGGAGGACTGAAGGTTCACAGCCCACTTACTCCGGGTGCCCAGGAGACACCCCACGGGCCTCCATCTCTTGCTGCCTTAGAAGGCTCATTCTGGCAACAGACCAGGAGCCACAACCCAGAACATGTAGCAGAAGCTTCAGGAGCCTCCGAGGGAAGCAGATAGGAGGCAGGTGTGCAGCGAGCGGCTGCCGAGGCCACTGGTTCGCTGCCTGCTCTGGCCCCCGGCCCCTCCCAGTGCCGCCAGCTCCTCTGGCTCAGGAGACAGGTTCAAGGCCAATTTCTCATTTTACAGGTGGAGATGCAGCAGGCAAAGGAGGCTTTCCTCCAGAGGCCCAGCCTCGCGAGAGGCTGAGGCTTTAATGCCAGCGTCTGTCCCTCAGTCGGGGAGGAAGGGGGACGTTGGCCAAAGCCGGTTTCAGAAAGCCCACTTCATGCATCGCCTCACCAGGTCCAGGCAAGAGAGGAGCAGGGACTCTGGAGGTCACTTCCTTCTACCCTTTGTGTGACTGGAGGATGCTTTGAGGTCACAGACCGCACAGGCTTCTCCCTTTAGCGGTGCCCACTGCCCACGGGCCAAGGCAGGACCTGGGGGGGGAGGTGCTCCAGAGCATGCAGCAACTCAGTGCTGCTTCTGAGCTCCTGTTTCACCCCACCTTCCTCTTGGTCCTCTACTGGCCCCCCCCACTACCCCCCTCCCGGTCAAGGTCACTGGCAGACATCCAGTGAGCCCCATTCTGAGCTAGGTACGTGCCCTTCCGGCCAAGGCTGTCCAGGCGTCAGTCTTTTCCTGAAGAGTTGCTCCTGACCTTGGGCTTTGTCCCCAGATCTGGTTGTCCTGAAGGAGCCTGGGGTCACCGGTCTCCAAAAGCTCAGCGCTCAGAATTTCCGGAAAGGCCCCCAAGCCTTAGAAGCAAAAATACCCAACCATCAACTTCCCAAATCTGGGAGTGTCTGTAACCCTGGAGCAGCCTGCCAGTCTCTGGGCTGCGGAATCCCCAAGGTGCGAGGGCTCTGGCGCCCGCCCCTCCTGGCCCACGGCTCCTCCTGCCCCGCCAGCGGATTTTGTCTTTTCCCCAAAAGGAGCTTCTGTGCTCTGGAAGCCTGACGCTGCGGGTGGTCCCTCTGCCTCCTTCATCAGGTGTCTGCCTGGGACGGGAAGGTGGGACGGGCCGCCAGCACCCAGGACGATGGCGACCCCAGCGGGAGCAGTGCTGAGCCCGCTGCCGGGTGTACCTGGCTTTGCCCACACGTGGGTGTCAGAGAAGCTGTACCGTCAGCGGGGGCGTCCCAGGCCGGAGGCCTCTCCCACCCAGGAGGAGGCCCCACGCCTCGGGAGGTGACCTCGGGCATCAGGACAGTGGGCAGTCGAATGTGAGCCTCTGAGCTACGCAGCTGAGCCTCGCCAGGCCTGCTGGGCTCCCCGGCACCCCAGGAGCCAACCCCGGGCAGCGCCCAGTGGACTTGGGAGAGAGGCCAGCCCATAGTCATTTTCTGGTATCTGGGAAGAGAAAGAGAACCTTCCAGCTTCTCCAGTCCTTCCAGTCAGAGCTGAAGAACGGCGTCCATCTCTGGCGTCCGTCTCTAAGCTGCTGCCGGCAGTTTTCTCAAGTAGCCCTGTGATTTGTTCAAACCCCTCCTGGGCCAGCCTGGAAGTGAACAGCTGGCTGAGGGGTGGCTGGGCGGGCCTGCCTCCCCAGAGGTGGACACTCTGGAGTGGTCCAGACTGGAATGCTCCACTCAGCTTGGAGAGAGGACATGGTGCTCTCCACCGTGTGCACTTCCAGCTGCCTGCCGAACGCGGCCTCCGGGCCGTGCCAGTTTGTTCCTGGAGAAGCCGGTCCTGACCACAGGGAGGCCGAGGCCGAGGCCACGACCCTCGCGGCGGGCAGCTGTCCTGGGCCTGGAGCCTGGGTCTACCTGCGCTGAAGCCCACGCCAGTAGCCTGGCAGCCTTTGCTCACCCCTCTGCCCCTTCCACGCCTGTTGCCCATCACCTGGAGGCCGGGCAGCTGCTCACCTGCGTCCGCCCTCTGAGGGCCCGGCCCCGCGTGGCTGAGGCGTGTGGGCCAGCTGGGTAGGACTCCCCAGTGGGCTGAGATACCAGCTCCGCACACTCTGGGCGCTGGGTACCCCCTTCCCTCGTGACCACCTGCCCGCCTGGGGTGTGGGGACACCTGGAGACACCTTTGCAGATGAAGGCGTCGAGGCTCAGAGGAGCCAGGGGCCTGCCGGAGGCCATGAGACTCCTCTGTGTCAGGGCAACATGCTACCGGCCACTTGCCCATGCCCTGGACAGGTGGGCGTGGCAGAGCAGACGTGCCTGCCCCCCTTGACACCACATCTTCTCTTCCCCCACCCCAGTCCCCAGTGTTCATCACCCAGGTTGACCGGGACCTGGTCTCCCAGACGGAGGAGAAGCTGCTGCAGCGGCCCTGCAAAGAGCTCTTTTCTGCCTGTGCACAGTAAGTGCCCGGGGCTGCCCCACCCACCCTGGAGCCCGGCCGGGAGGGCCCGTGGCTGAGGGCCCAGCAGCTGTTTGCGTGGTTTTTGTGAAGGGCGAGAGCGCAGGTGCCAAGTCCAGAGACAGCTCCTGCTTTGCGGGTGCTGAGAGCGGCTCTCCGGGCCCTCTGGGGTGGGGGCGCCTGAAATGCAGCCCAGGTCCGCCACCCCCGTGGGCGGCGCCAGCCGGAGCAGGCTGCTCTGGGCCCCTCAGGGTCCCGCGTGGAAGGTGAGCCCCGTGGCGGGAGCGTGCCGTGTCCAGCGCAGCACTGCCACCCCGCCCACACTGCCGGGGTGCCGGCCTGCCCCTTGGGGGCCCCAGGTTGACATGCCCCGTCGGCAAGGAGGGGTGGAGCTGACCTGCTGGTTCTGCCGCCCCCAGCCCCGGCCGGGGGCCGCAACGCTCACCCGCCTGTCCCCTTTGAGCCAGGTCTGTCCACGACTACCTGCGAGGAGAGCCCTTCCATGAGTACCTGGAGAGCATGTACTTCGACCGGTTTCTCCAGTGGAAGTGGCTGGAGAGGTAAGGTCCCCACGCGCCCCCACGCCGGGGCGTGCCCGGGCGGGCGGGCGTGTGTGCACGCGGGCGTGTGCCGTGTTGGGCAGGAGGCGGGGTGCAGGTTTGCACCCCTGGGGCGCCCCTGGGCGGCGGCCGCGTGTGTTGCTCCTGCCTCACCCGCGCTGCTCTCACTCCCCTTCTCTCCCGCACACGGCGTCCTGGCCTCACGCCACGCTGTCCCTGCCCCTGGGAATCCTTCCTGGGCCGTGGTCTTTGACGAGTTCCCCAGGCTGCAGCCCTGCCCGCTGCGGGAGGACGGTGAGGGCGCCCTCGAGGCTTTGTGCCTCGGCACATGTCTGTGCCCTTTGGCAAGGACGCGCCTGGCCGTTCCCAGAAGAGAGATTTGGGGTCAGTGAGCAGCCAGCTGCCCCCACTGCCGGGCCTGCCGCCCGCCGGCGCCCGCTCCCCTCGGCCTGGGGCCCCCCTCTTGTAGCGCCAGTCTCTGGTAACGGGTGAGCCCGAGTCCATGAGTCTCGTCAGAGCGCTTTCGTGGGCCTGAGTCTCCCTGGGAGAGAGGCCGGGAGGACGAGGTTTGCCTCGCTCCCCAGCAGGCCGGGCCTGCAGCCCCGAGGCCCCGCGCAGCCGCTCGCACGAGGCCCTGCCCGCCTCCGACACGCCAGGGTGTGCCAGAAGGGCCGTGCCGCCTGGGCCCGCACGGGCCGGGCTGCTGCGTGAGGGCAGGAGCAGCCCTTCCCCGCCTGGGCGCCCTGTGCCCGAGGCCCACTTGAGGCCTCGCGTTCAGGCTGGGGCGGCAGGCAGGGAGCAGCCTCACGGGGGCCCCTTTCTGGCTGCGCTCCCCACGGACACCTCTGAGGCTGTAGGACGGGGACCCCGATGGTCCATTCATGGCCCTTCTCTGCTCACTCCAGGAAGCTTTGCCGGCGGTGGGGGGCAGTGGGGTGACAGAGGCCAGTGGACACTGCAGGAGGTGGGGGCAGCTTCACGTGGAGCCCGAAGCCTGGCTCTTCCCAAGGGGCCCCGGGGGTGGGGGTCAGCCCGCCACACCTCAGTTTCCTCATCTGTAAACGGGGTTCTCGACAATGCCTGCCTTGCAGGCTGGGGCAGGATAGGACGGGGGGCGTCCGCCATGGGGCCCCAGTACAGCCACTGCTGACGCCGTCCGTGTCACCTGGTTGTCCTCCACACGCCCGATCCCGGTAGGCACGCTGACATTGCCGGGTCAGTCCTGGTCAGGGCCACTCGGGGTCGCGTCCATCATGCCCAGGCCTTACCGGCTAAGCCTGCAGGCCGCTTGTTTTGTCCTCAGGAAGGCCTGGTCATTCTCAGCTTATAACAAGAGGGCCATCAGCCACCCTCCTGCGCTGATGAGAGGGCCAGAGGTCAGATGCTGGGGCGGTGGGCGTGGTCACCCCGAGACCCTCGGGGCTTGGCCTTTACCCCAGAACTGGAACAATGATTTCGGACACCCACAGGGCAGCTTACAGAGTGCAGGCCCCTGCAGAGTCTGCATCACTGAAGGGACAGGGCTCATGGAGGTGGTGGGGCCCCCTGGCCCCACAGCACGGTCGCCCACTCAGACCACCCCCCGCAGCCCGCCCAGTGCTCCTGTTCCCACAGAACCTTGGGCTTGTGGCCACAAGCTTCCTTTTACTGCACCTGGAGAAATGGCGTTTTCAGTCCACACGCTGACTGCCAGTGCGTCCCGCCCTTGGAGGGCCTGAGGCGGGGGGGGCCCACGGGCAGGACCCTGGCCTAGCGGCACCCTCAGAGACCAACAGCACCCCCTCTTTTTCCAAACAAAATCCTGGCCTGGTGGTGCTGTACTGTTGAAATAGTAAAGGGATCTTTCCCCTCCCAAGGTTAACCAAGAAATTCCTGGGAAATTGTGTTTCCCTCATTTCCCCTCACAGAGGGTCTGTGGTCACGCCGACCGCCGACCGTCTGTTCTCTGGGTACCGTCAGGCTTGGGCCCGGCCGCCTTCATGTGGCCTCCAGGCAGCTGCAGGGAGGTTTCCCCAGCTGCAGCCGCGCCAAGATTGGCAGGTGTCCTCCCTGCCCGGGGGTGCAGGGGCACCGGGGAGCCCTGCAGAGCGGGCCGGGCCCTGGCACCCCGCCTCCTAGGGAAGGCAGAGTGGGTCCCACATGTGACTTCCACACGGGCTGCCAGAGGGCCGCGGGGTTTTCCAGGCTGCCCCAAGAGCACTGAGCGATGTCAAAGGTGTGACTTCCCACGGAGCCCAAATCCTCCCGGGGAGATTGCTTCTTAGGCCACTGGGGGGCCAGAGGCTTGCGGGTCTTCCTCTTTCAGACTCCCTTGAGTGGGGTCTGAGAGCCGGCTCAAGTAGTCCCTGGGAGCCAAGAGCCGACTTTAACATCACAAAGGCTGATGGTTCTTTTCCCATTCTTAATAGTTAGGTTGTTTCCATGTCTTGGCATCTGTGGATGACACTGCCGTGAGCCCAGACGTGAAGCATGGTTATGCTTATACAGTAGGTTCTCACTTCATGCTGCCCATAGGTTTCTGGAAACAGCACTCTTTAGTGAAATGACATACATGTATCCAGAACGTTTCCTTCAGCAATGCCATTTTGTTCAACCTTGGCTGGGGTATTTTTCCCCCATCAATATTATAACAAAAGGATATTGAACAAAACGTGTTATTTGAGAACACACACGTGTGTGTGCTCACACGGTGGAATATTACTCGGCCTTCAAAAGGGAAACCTGCCACTTATGACAACATGGATGAGCCTGGAGGACATTTGTTAAGTGAAATAAACCAGACACAGAATCTTTATGATCTCAATTCTATGTGGAGTCTGAAATAATGAAACTCATGAAGCTGAGAGTAGAATGGAGGTTGCAGGGTGCTGGGAGGGTGAAGGTAAGAAGAGCTGGTATGATACAGGCGAAGGGACCCAAAGTTTCACTTGCGCAGAATGAATAAATTCTGTAGCTCCAGTCCACGCCCTGGAGAGAATAAACAGTACTGTGTTGTACACTTGAAATTTGCCAAGAAGGTAGATGTTAAGGAAGAGAGAGCCAGGAGGGGAAGGAGAAGGAAATGTTAGTTGATAAAATGTTAATTAACTTGACTGTGGTCACTGGTTCACAGTGATGTGTGTGTCAAAACACCAAGCTGTAGGCCACTTGTCAGTTGCACCTCAATAAAGGGGGAATGTCGGGCCAGGGAAAACAGATTATTCTTAGCCTGCAGTGAAAAGCGTGTGCTGTCTGCCCCAGCCTGGTCTGCCAGCACATCAGCGGGGCCTTTCCTCCCAGAAGCCCCATCCGAGGTTGTGGTCAGAGGGCCTGTCTGATTCTAGGCGTCATGAGATGGACTCTCTCATCACCGTGAAGCCAGCGTCGGATTGTTGTTTCTTTGCAGGCAACCGGTAACCAAAAACACTTTCAGGCAGTACCGAGTACTCGGAAAAGGGGGATTTGGGGAGGTAAGTGACCCTTCTTGCACGAAAGTTCTCACACTTCCCTCCTAGACTGGCCAGTAGTGTCTGAAGCAGGATCCCCGAGCGCCCCCTGGTGGGGAGGGAGGGTGAGGCTGGGGCCTCGGGACCCTCAGCTCTGCGGAGGTGGGACAGGAGGGTGCAGAACAGTCCCCTCTGCCTGGGCCCAGCAGGTGAGGCAGAGGTGTCCTTGGGGGCCGCTCTGGACAGGTCCACGCCCCCTCCGCTGTGTTTGGGGGAAAGTGAGGGCAGGAGGCCACCAGGCCCTGGCAGGATGCAGCCGTTATTAACCAGCCCTGATCTTCACCACAGTGAGGCGAGCTTAGTTATCCCGGTGTAGAGATGAGGGAAGTTGAAGCTCAGACTGGTCAGGACCAGCCTGGGTCACACAGCTGCCTCAGAACCTAAAGGCCCTCATGCCCATTGTGCTGCATTACAGAGTGGGGGTTCCTCCGTCACTGCAGCCCCGCAGCTGCCAGCAGCTGGTGCTTGCATGTCCCAGTTAGCAACAGCTGCATCTGCCGTTAGGCTTAGGACAGAGGAAATTTAGTTGCCTCTGAGAGGGCTGGTACCTCAGGCCTCCACCTGGACACAGTGGCTGGTCCTGCCCAGTCAAGAGCTGGGGTTTGCCCAGGGGTGGAGCGGGGAGGGGGGGGGGGGGGGGGGGGGGGGGGGGGGGGGGGGAAGAGCGGGAGGGGCGCGGCGTCCCTGGAGCCAGATCCGGAGGCCTGGCCCGGGGTGGTCCGGTCCTGGGCTGGGGTCCCCTCGGCGCAGGCAGACCTCACGGGGACACACCTGGCTTCTTCCTCGTGCCAGGTGTGCGCCTGCCAGGTTCGGGCCACAGGCAAAATGTATGCCTGCAAGCGCTTGGAGAAGAAGAGGATCAAGAAGAGGAAAGGCGAGTCCATGGCGCTCAACGAGAAGCAGATCCTCGAGAAGGTCAGCAGCCGGTTTGTGGTGAGTGTCCAGGGCCCAGCAACAGGCCCCTCTGGTGACCGTGCTCCTGGGGGCGGGTCCCAGGAGTGCAGGGAGGGGGCAGGCAGGCGCCCCCCACTCCCTCCATTGAGAGGCCTGTGGCTGCCTCCGTCCTGGACTGAGCTGCCGGGCGCCCGGCAGGGTGCTCCTCCGTGGACAGGGCACCCCGCCCTGGGCCAGTCAGGCGCTGTGACTGGCACACCCCCGGCTGGTCACACCGTAGCCGCTGGGGAGGCCCGGCCTCGGTGGGTCCGTGTGTCCGTCTCGGCTACACTCTGCTGCAGAACAGGTGACCCCAGCTCACAGTGGCGGGAGCCTCTGGCTGTTCTGTCACATGGAGGCGACTCGGGTCCCTCCTCCATCCACACTGCCCTGCTGGAGTCTCCAAAGAGAGAGCTGTCTTGTCTCCAGCCCCAGGGTGAGAACCAGCCCCTGCAGGGCGCCGGCCAGAGTCCGGGAGGCGAGGAGGGCGTGGGGGTCCTGAGTGGCTGCTCCCAAGTGCTGAAGTCAAGCAGCTGCTGCATCACCCTCAGCCCGGGCCTGCGCTCCAGCCTTCTACCTGCTGCACTCCAGCCCCTTCACTCGTGAACCTTCTCCTCGGCAGACCCACCTGCCCTTCTCTGTAGAGCTGTGCACCCTTTCCCCTGGGGGCAGGGAGGGGTCGATGACCACCCTTGGCCCTGTGCCCGCACACACTGTCCTGGGCTTGGGTCACTGGCGGCAGTGCAGTGCTGGCAGGGGACCGCGAGCCCCGCCTGGCTGTGTGCCTGGCGGTGCATCTTCTGGGCGCCAGTTTGGTGGCTGGAATGTGCCCCTAGTGGGGCGTTCCTGGGCGTGCCCCCAAGAGCCCTCCCTCTGGCCGGGCGGGGTGCAGGGCCAAGCGGGAGCCGGCACCAGGGTGCTGCCTTAAGCAGGCGGCTCCTTTCCTGTGTGGTCCTGAGGCCGCTGCCATGCATGCCGGCTCCCCATGTGGGGAGCACAGAACTGCAGGTGACCCCACCTCAGAACCCCAGCCCTGCCCACCAGCCTGCCCCATCCTTGGGCGCTGTCTCCACTGCCAGGCCCTGGAACTGCCTCTCTGATGGCGCCTTGACCCGCATGTCCGCACGCAGCTGTCCTGCACCCCCAGCCAACCCCAGCCCACTCCCAGAACCCCAAGTCCTCAGCCAGAAGGGCATCGGGGTGTCAGCAGGGTGCCACCAGCCTGTCCGCCCATCACATCCTCACCAGGGGCCCCAAATTGGAAGGGGTGACCCCTTCGGCAGTCACGACAGTCAGCAGGCTGTCTGGGTACAGGGGCCCCACTCCGGGCCTCCCCCCACCTTTAAGGACCCCGAGGAGGAAGAGCGGCGGGGTGCCCGTGGGCAGGCTGCCCCATGGGCTGTCTTGTGCTCCCAGGTCAACCTGGCCTACGCCTACGAGACCAAGGACGCGCTGTGCTTGGTGCTGACCATCATGAACGGGGGCGACCTGAAGTTCCACATCTACAACATGGGCAACCCTGGCTTCGAGGAGGAGCGAGCCTTGTTCTACGCAGCCGAGATCCTGTGTGGCCTGGAGGACCTGCACCGTGAGCACACGGTCTACAGGTGAGCCGCTCGGGCCACGCCCGGGGAGCACGGCCGTCGCCTCGCGGGGAAGGTGCTGGAGTCCAGCAGGCTCCCTCCTGGAGGCGAGGAGCCCAGGCGAGGCTTGGGGTGGCCCATACTCCCTCCAGGCTGGCGAGGCGGCTGTGGTCGCCAGCCCCCGCCACCCAGACTCCGGGGGCCCGGGCCTGCCTCGTGGGACCAGCCCAGGCAGGCTCACCACCTACCGGCAGGCATCCAGTGCACCGTCGCCCTCCCCACGCCGCCCAGCTGTCAGTTAGAAAGCCCCTGTCCCCCGCGGCCAGCAGGCCTCTGACACGGCTCCCTGTGTGCTGCAGTCCAGGTTAGCCACGATATCCTGAAACTGAGCAGTCCCATCACACACTTAGAGATAACCAGTGGGTCTAATTGCTGTAGCAAATTGATTTCTACCATCATCCATCCAAAAACGCATGGAAAGCTCTTAATGGCGAGGAATTTTCTATCATTTTCTTCTCCACTCTCCTCCTCCCACACAGAACCTTATTCTGTGTTTTGCCCAGGAGTTTTTCATTGATTCTGTCCTCAAATAAATATATGGATTCATATAATCTTTGGAATGTTTCCTTTGACATCAAGCGCTAAATGTTAAAATGATTTCCCCTGAGCATCGCCATTGTCATTGTTATTTTTATCAGGACTCTGGAGCCAGGCGCCACATTCTGGAGCCTTCTTCTGTTGACTGGGGGGGGCTGTTGAGAGCGAGCAGGTGGAGGGAGGTGCCCGAGGCTGCGGGCCCCGGCGTCGCCATGGCAAGGTTCTAGAAATGTCTGCCCTTGGGACAGCCAGTGGCCAGCACGAGGGAACCCCGACGTCTCCGCAGACATTCTGAGGCCTTTGCAGCGAGCTCTGGGCAGAGATTGTTCTGAGCACCAAATTATGTTTTTGTTTTATTTTCATTCAAGTGAGAAGAGAGTCAGAAATGTCCCTAAGGATCGAAGAAAGAATCCTCTAATTTGATTGCCTTTCACTTAAAAAAACAAAATAAAAGGGGGACCCTCCCAGTGCCATCTCTAGGGAGGAAGAGCCGGTGCCTGCCCGGCCCCTCCCCGCAGCGGCCTCTCTGTGGCTTTGGGCTCCGTCCGGCCTGTGCCCACCGGCCAGCTGTCTCTCCAGGCCTGTGGCCACCTTGATGGCTCCTGCCCTTATTTGGAATAGTCATCATATCAAAGAATGCAAATTAAATAACAGCAACCAACGTATTTTGTAATAAATCACGACATTCAAACACCAATTACCGCTCTGTGCGCCGCCTCCCTGGCCTGGCTCGGGAGCTGCCCCCGGAGGCCAGCTGCCTTCAGTTAAGAGCGCAGAGCCGGTTGGCTGGGCTGGGGCCGCGCTCCAGATGCCCGGCGGTGTCTGCCCGGTGGCCCAGCTGGGTGCCGCCCCATTGGCTTGCTTTGATGTGCCGAGCTCTTCCTAGTGGAACCAGACCCTTCTGCACCCCCGGGACGGAGCGGCCGGGGTGGCGCGGTGGCACCTCCTGCCAGGCTGCTGGCTGCGCTTTCTCCGGGCTGTCCATCGGCCAGTGGTCTCCAGCGGGGGCCTCACGTGGACAGATGGGCCAGATGCCAGTGCCAGCCTTCGCCTGACCTCCTCCCTGGCCACTCCCCGGGGCCGGGAAGATGACTGTGGCTGTGGCCAGCAGCAGCATTTGTTTCAAATTACTGGGAGCGGAGAAATTAGCCCAAGATTGTGTTGACCCAGGGACCAGAATGCCTGAGCCAAGAGGTGGAAGGACACAGGCCTGCCTGGCCCGAGGGGTCGGCCCAGATGCGCCCCCGCCCCGCCCCATGACCCCCCCACGCTCACTCGCCTGTGATCTTTCCCTTTCAGAGACTTGAAACCTGAAAACATCCTCTTGGATGACTACGGTGAGTGAGTGCGGCGCGGCGGGGGTCTTTCTGCTCTGGGTGTGGCCCCCCAGGAACTGATGGCCTCGCAGAGACCATGGCGGGGGCCCCCACCCTCCTCACTGGCGGGGGTCGGGGAAGGCAGCGCGGCTGGGGAAGGAGCCGTGTGTGGGCGGGAGAGGCGGCAAGCAGGCCCCCGCGGTGTGGCCCCCGGCCCCCAAGACAGTGGCGGATCTGGGCCTGTCAGGCAACTTCCGGCACCTCGTTTTCCTTGTTAGTGAAATGGAAACGGGGCCACCCCGCCTGCTTCAGAGGGTGGACGGTGTTGGCCAAGCTCTGACAAGGGCAAATCGTTTCGTTCGCTGTGTCCAGGATGCTGGGGTTCAAAGAAAGCCGCAGGGGCCCCTCACGCCCCGCCCCCCAGGAAGTGGTTTGCACGTCTGGCCCCACGAGGTCGTGGGGACCCGCGTCTCCTCGCCCGTCTTGCAGGGTGGAGGGTGGGTGCACATGCACCCTGGCGGGCAGGGAGGGCGGCGTGCCGTGACCCTACCGTGACTGATGTGTCCGCTCGGCTTGGGGGCCTGTCTGGTCGGGAGCTCCCCTTCCGGCCCTGGTCTCCACGGGCCCCCCAGAGAACAGAAGGAGGCCAGGGAGCCGCTTCCCAAATGGCTTAGAATTTTGCCCTTCAGCAAACTGTTGCAAATTGTCTGGAGAGTCTCACAGTGTTTCCCATGAAGCAACCCCACATCCAGGCCAAGGCGTTTTAAACTTCATGACCTTGGCCTCCACGGACCACCCACTGGGCCACTTATGAGGCAGGTCAGCCATTGTCCAGCCAAATCCAGCTTCCTTTTGCCTCTTTTACGTTTTTCTCCTATGAAGGAACCGGTTACCACACCTCCTGCTCCCTGGGGCTCCCCAGGGGCCTCCTCACCTGCCTGAGAAGGTAGATTGGGGTCTACCCCAGAGACAGATGGAAACGCTGAGAAGCTATCTCCTTGTCCGGGGGTGCACAGAGGTCTGTGACCTGCCTGCTGATACCCGCTTGACAAGGACCCCTGACCCACTCTCCCCCTCAGGGCACATTAGGCTCTCGGACCTGGGCCTCGCCGTGAAGATCCCCGAGGGAGATCTGATCCGCGGCCGGGTGGGCACCGTCGGCTACATGGGTAAGTGTGGGTGTGGGCCAGCCCTGGGGGCAGGTGTGAGACTCCCGGGTGTGACTCGACGAAACCGGACCCTTGACCCCCGTGTCAGAGCCAAGCCACACTCTGAACAGGGCTGGCAGCTGGTGAACAGCCTTTCCAGGAGACCCCGGGAGGGGGAGTGTTAGGAAGGGCCCAGAAAGAACAGCAGGCACCTGGTGCACGCTGGAGGATTTTAAGTGGAAGCTGGCCTCGGGCACCCGGACTCCCCCAGGTCTACTCCGAGACCTTCGCCCCGGGGCAGGGGGCGGGGATGACGCCTGGCCCTTGGGGTCCCCTTCCAGGCAGGGGCATCCTGTGAGGCTTCCTCTGCATGCTTACACACGTGTCCACTGCCCCAGAGCACAGGGCCCAAGTGAGCTTTTGGGGCCGGGGACGCTGGGCCCCCTCGGCTGGGCCCTTGCCACGGCACATGAACAGGATTCTGTATGTTGTCCCTGGTGCTGAGAGGGTCCTTTACAGATCGCGTGTGACCTTGGGGACCTGCAAGGTGTGTGCCTGCGTGTTGTATACCCGTTTGAGTGCTGGTGGATAGATGGAGAGAGAGGATAGTTCCTAAGATACTGATAGGTGATAGATAGTTGATGGTGGGTGGTGGGTGGGTGGATGGAGAGACAGGTAGTAGACAGATGAATGACAGCTGGTGGATGAGAGAGTGGGTAGGCAGGTGGACAGAGAGACAGGTGAGTAAACACACAGGTGGATGATGGATAACTGGCGGGTGGGGAGAGATGGGTGGATAATGGATAGTTAACAGATGGATGGATGAATGGATGGGTGGGTTGGTAGAAGGACAGGTGGCTGAGTGGACAGGTGGGTGAAGGGGTAGATGGGCAGGTGGAGGGTGGGTGGATAGGCTGAGGGTGGACAGATGGAGGACAGTGGATGGTTGGATACATAGGTAGGTCGATGGATACCAGTTAACAGGTAGCTGGGTGGCCGGTGGGTGATGGGTGCGGCTGAGAACCTGGGTGCACCTGCTTGGGTTTCCTCTGCGTGGATCTGTCTGCAGGGCTTTGCTGCCTGCACACCAGCCATGAGTCTGTGTTGCGTCTGATGCGTGTGGCCTGCCTGATGACATGGAAGTATCTTTCTTGCATTTCTGTGGCGAGTCTGTGATTCATTTTACCAAGGTTGTGGGAAGCTGTAGCGAGAGGCAGTTTGAATTCCAGATAAACGTAAAAGCATCTTTCACTTAGACAGACACACTTTGAGTCACTGAAGTGAAAGTGTGTGACGCACCTGCTGTGTGCCTGCTGTTGTATTTGTTGTTGGGGACAAGCAGTGAATAAAGCAGCTCTTGGCGGGAGAGATGTCAAAGGAATAGGCTATTTCTACCCACCCTTGTCAGTGAAGCCACAGAGTCCTTCAGGACCAGAAAGGAGAGCAATCAGGGAGGGCTCCCTGCAGGAGGTGGTATTTAGAGCAGTGGGTAAGGAGGAGTCAGCAGCGGGACTGGCCGCCTGGAAGCAGCCCCCTCACCTGGGAGCAGGGGCCAGGCGTGTGCCAGGCTCCGCCCCGCGAAGCTGCCTCTCACCTGCCCCCGCCCTACCCTCCCCCAGCTCCGGAGGTCCTGAACAACCAGAGGTACGGCCTGAGCCCTGACTACTGGGGTCTGGGCTGCCTCATCTACGAGATGATCGAGGGCCAGTCGCCGTTCCGCGGCCGCAAAGAGAAGGTGAAGCGGGAGGAGGTGGACCGCCGGGTCCTGGAGACGGAGGAGGTCTACTCCCACAAGTTCTCCGAGGAGGCCAAGTCCATCTGCAAAATGGTGGGTCCCGGCGCCAGCCGCTGCCCGGGGCGACGCCCCTCCCGCCCCAGCTCAGCAGACAGATCAAGGAGACGAGGTCCTGGGGCACTAGGATGTGGATGCCGAAGCCACAAGCCAGGGGAGCAGAGCCCGGCTGGGGGGTGGTGTCCAGCGTGGTGTCCAGGAGGAGCCCTGGAGGAGGGGCAGGATGGTGAGCGGCTGGAGACACCCACAACCCAGCTCTGCTAGGGGAGTCAGCCTGCAGGGAGGGAAGCGAAGACTCCGGGAGCCCTAGGGCAAAGGAGGGGTCTGGCGCCAGCCCCTCCCCTTGGCCTCTGTCACCTTAGCTCAGGACCCAGGCATCGGCCCGGGGGTGGCCGGTCTGGACCTCTGACAGCACTCTGGGTGCCGGGTGGAGCTGGCCCCGTGTGGCCAGGGCGCCCACCGGCCAGGCCTTGCGGGGAGTGGGCACTGGCCCCTCGGCCTGGCTGAGGCCTCCTGAGTCCCGCTTGGGCCGCAGGGCACGCTCCCTCTGAGGCCTGGCGCCTGGCACTACTGTACTGGCTTCAGCGCACCCCACGACTGCCTCCGCTGCCCAGCACCTGGGGCAGGAGGGGCCCTATGAACGCGCAGGCTCCCCTCCCGGAGCTGCAGCCCGCGGGCCGCCCTGGGCCAGCTGGGCTGGAGCACAGAGGCCGGGCCGGGGAGCTGATCAGAAGCAGCGAAGCTCCTGCTTGCAGCAACCCCGAGGCTGCACTCTAGGGGCCCAGGACCCACCAGGGGGCTCCCACTCCCAGGGACCCCCCCTGGATCTGCTCACCCTCTGCCTGGATCTGTCCTTCGGCCAGCTTCAGCCTGGTGTCCCAGGGCCACGGAAGGGTTTAAATCTGCCACCTGAGTAGTCCTGAAGGCAGAGGGGTGTGGGTATGTGTCCATGTGAGTGAGGGACACTGAGGGAGAGGGGCCGGTGCTCACACAACGCATGGCCGAGGCCAGCTGTGCCGTGGGCCAATGTCTACAACACTGGGCCCCCAAGAGACCAGCAGCCAGAGTGGGGAGCTGGGGGCAGGTAGAGCCGGGTAGCAAAGGCTGGCACTGGACGACTTGGTTGCGTCCTGCCTTGCCTAGGTAAGGTGCCTGTGCCCTGGGGCCAGACTGGGCAAGGGGCAGAGGAGGGCAGAGCAGGTCCGGGCCGGGATTCAGAGAAGCCGGACTGGAGAGTCCTCAACGAGATGATACCTGCCCAGTGGACAGTGGCCCAGGGTCCTCCCTGCCTGGTGTCCACCACCCCAGGACCAAAGGCACGTCTTTCCCTCTGCTTCCCCCTGGTGGCTGCCGAGGGAAAGGCGTGGCCAGGCCTAGGCGCCCGGAGCATCTGGCTTGCCGCACAGAGTCAAACTCGCCTCCCTCATCTTCTCACCCCGCTGACACGCCTGCGGCCTCGGGCCTTGCTCCATCTTCTTAACGGCCCAGGGTTGGGAGGATTCTAGTCTTAGGCTTCCTCTGGCAGCCAGGCTGGCCCCGTGCCCCACAAGGGGAGTCAGCCCAGGACACCCCCCGCCCTGACTGTCGGGAGTCCAGGGGGGCTCTGGGAGCACCCTGCTGTCGGCAGTTCCAGCCCTCCTTCCTCGGTGCGCCCCATCCGGCCCTTCAGCCACCTGCCTCTCCTCTGGCCTGTCAACCCATCGCCAGCCTCCTCCAGGAAGCCCACTCTTCCTCCCGACAGCCTCCATCACACCCTCTGGCTTCTCTGGGCGTGTAGCTCGTCACCCCACCCGTAGTGGGTCTTTAGTTCAGCCTGCACAGAACGAGGTGAATGATGGGCCAGTGGCCAACACCTGACACTGGAGAGGTTCCCACAGAACACCTGGATTTTCTGGCTTCTCTTGAAGAAAACAGAAGTCCTGGGCACTGGGCGACATTGCTGCTGGGAAGGAACCGAAAGGCAGCTGACCTTGCCCGGAGTTGCCAGGTTGCGGGGTGGCCAGTGGGCCAGTGGACGCTGTGAGGACTGACCTTGCGGCCTTGGCTGGTGCTTGCCAGGCCCTCTGGGGAGACTGCCCGCCTGGATCCTAGTCAGTGGATTCAGACACTTAAGAGCGTTAGTGCTGGAGCTGGGGGGGTGGGGGGGGTGTGGGGGTGTCGGCATGCAGCGACCTGGGACCATGCCCGTGGCCATCAGCCTCCTCACCCCCCTGTCAACCTCCTTCTCTCGTCCTGACGAGGATGCTCTCCCCTCACCCCCTCCGTGCTCCAACGCCACTTCTCGCCCTGGCTGACCCTGACACCTCTTCCTTAGCTCACATGCAGCGGCTGGGTGCACCCACTTAAGCCCTGGGTGTCCCAGCTGCCTCCCCGCCCCCCTGCCAGGGCCCCTCCCAGCCACAGCCCCCTGGTGTGCCCCGTGGCTGAGTGTGTGTCAGCACCTGCTGGGTGCAGGTCCCCAGAGACGAGACCTGAGCCACTGAGCGAGACCTGCAGTTTTGCCCTGCGGGGCCTTCTGGTAGCAGGACAGGACTCAGGCCCACAGGTGGGCTGAAGCTCAGTCCAACCCAGGCCCGGGGCACACAGCCCCGGGGGAAACAGGGGCACCCCTTGCTCCCCTGGCGCCTGGGCACTTAGGTACAGATGAGAGCAGAACCGCAAAGCTCACAGTGGCTCTGGGGCGCCCCGAGACACAGCCCGGGCAGAGGGCAGCAGAGGGGCCCAGGCTGCTCGTGTCAGGCCGAGCACACGTTGCCTCTCTGGCCTCCGGGTGGCAGGAAAGGCCGGCAGCTGAGACTCACAGGGCTCTCCCTGTCGCAGCTGCTCACCAAAGACGCCAAGCAGAGGCTGGGCTGCCAGGAGGAGGGGGCCGCGGAGGTCAAGAGACACCCCTTCTTCAGGAACATGAACTTCAAGCGCTTGGAGGCCGGGATGTTGGACCCTCCCTTCGTTCCAGACGTGAGTGTGCCCCGCCCGGCCGCGTGCCGTTGAGCCTGATGGAGGGCCTTGACCTTAGCTGCAGGGCCTGCCCTGGGGACTGAGGCCGTGGCGGTGACAGGACTTGGCACCAGGCCTGGGGGCTCTCTGCTCCCACCTGGGAGGCTCCTCCCTGCCTGCTCCTCTGTAGACTCTGCCCACTGACCTAGGACCCCTGAGGGGCAGCCCGACGGGGTGGTCTCTGTGAGCCCCCCGGAGTGTTTTACAAGTGAGCTGGAATGAGGGTCCACATGATAGTGGCGGCGCCTGGCCCGGGCTTAGCCTGTCTGCAGGTGACTCCCAGAGTCCTGCGGCTCGCCCCCAGGGCCCCAGCGTTGGCTGGCTGGCCACAGAGCCTGGCGCTGGCCCTGTCACGGGAGAAGGGGCCAGAGGCCCCCCACAGAGCTGGCCTAGTGCCTCCTGGGACATCTCTGGGCTGCATGTCCCCATGGGCCCCTCCAGGCCTGGCCCTGGCCTCAGTGTCCATTCTCATCACCAGAAAGTGGACCAAGGAGTGTGCCCTTGACCTTCCTGTTAAAATGCTCAGGGGTAAGGGGCGGGGGGGAATCATGCTTCGTAAAATAAGAAAGAAAAAGAAAAATACCGGATAGTTTCACTCATAGCGGGAGCAGAAAGGACCAGGCGAGAAAATAACAATAATAATGAACAGCCATATACCAGAGACATTTTGTGGGAGTGGAGTGGGGAACGGGATCAAAAACAGTGGGAGGGAGGGAAATGCACAGGACTATGGCGATGGCACAGGGTGACTTGGTGATGGGAAACCCACGGGGATTGCAACTGAGATGGAAAAAGGCACAAAATGATGTAAAAATGAACTACTATAATAAAAAAAGTGTTCGGGGTGGGGTATTTCTCTCTCCCGAGCCAGCAGACTTTAGAATATGGTGGGAAGCGGGGTCCACGAGATGCTGAGTGTGGGGCCTCAGGGGCAGAGGTGACCTCCCCACCATCCGAGGCCCAACTGGGAGCCGGTGAGGGGCGATGGCCACCCCCAGACACTCCTTTCACCCGGCTGCGCCCCCTCGGCACATCCAGAGAGGGAGCAGGGCTTCTGTTCAGGGAGGTGGGGGGCTCGGGAAGACACCCCGCTCCCTGCCGCCACCGCAGCCGCGGGCCGTGTACTGCAAGGACGTGCTGGACATAGAGCAGTTCTCCACCGTCAAGGGCGTAAACCTGGACCACACCGACGACGACTTCTACTCCAAGTTCTCCACGGGCTCCGTGTCCATCCCGTGGCAAAGCGAGGTGAGCAGGCGGGCGGCCTGGGCCAGGGTCAGGGCCTGCTGGGCCGGCCCCACGCGGCCAGACGGGCAGGCCGAGGGGAGAGGAGGTGCCAGGCTGGCCTCCTCGAGAAGACCGAGAGCTTGGGAAGAAGGAGGCGGCGTGGCGGAGTTAGAGCTGGTGCCAGTGGCATAAGTGAGGCGGTCTGAAAGCGGAGGTCTGGGGCTCGTAAGGGAAGGGCTTGCCTGGCTCCGGGGTGCAGGGGTGCAGTGCCCAGGGGCTGAGGTGAACCCGCCTCCGTGAAGCTGGAGGTGGAGAGGCCGCTGTGGGGTGTCGGGCTCGGGCCCTGGGGACAGAGGATGGGTGGGGCCGGCCGCTCCGGCTTGCCTCTGGGGTCCCTCTCCCTGGGGGGTGACAGTGCAGCCACCCAAAATGTCCCATGCCTCGTGCCCTTCCCCCAGATGATAGAAACAGAGTGCTTCAAGGAGCTGAATGTGTTCGGACCCAACGGTACCCTCTCGCCGGACCTGAACAGAAGCCACCCGCCGGAACCCCCAAAGAAAGGGCTGCTGCAGAGAATCTTCAAGCGTCAGGTGAGACCCCGCCCAGCACCCCACCTCAGCTCCAGGGGCCCCAGCCCAGGCAGCTCATGCAGCTGGGACCAGAGCTGCGGGGAGGTTGGGCCGGGGGGCAGCAGCCTGGAAGGGAGCCCCTGAGGCCGCTGGTGGCGCCCCTGGGCAGGAGAGGGGCCCTCTGAGTTCACCCTGGGTCAGGCTTTGGGGCCTGGCCCTGCGGCAGCTTGGGGTTCATTCTGTGTAGGGGGGGCCGTCCCGTGTGCTGGTTGGAGGAGGTGGAGCAGGGTCCTTGGCCGAGAGCCGCGGGTTCCAGGCGCTGTAGTGGTGGCAGTGGTGTGGGTGAGAAGCCTGCTCTTGGCCTGGGGCCCCGGGGTGCTCCGTGCCCCTGGCTGGCCGAGGCTGGCCCTGCAGAAGGGTGTGCTTCCTCGGAGCCTGTGCCAGGTGGAGGGTGTGGCCAAGGGAAGACAGGCCGACGGGAGTGAGGCCTCAGGGACCCCCCCAGCTCTCCCACCTTGAAGGTGGCCCTATAGCGCGCCCTCTCGGCCCTGCCCTGGGGCTCCAGGGTCCCCAGCCCAGGGTCTGGGAAACTGTTCTGGAAGTTCCTCCTCCCGGAAGGCCGAGGATGAAGGCAGGAGCAGGGCAGCTCTGGTCCCGGGGCGGAGTCCCAGCTCCCTCCCTCTCTGACAAGGAGATGAAGAGGGCTGGCCACCGTGCTCTGCAGTACTTTTTAGGGGTGCCTCATTTCATCTCCACAAACCCCGGGCCTTTGTGCAGTAGTGTCCACTGTGGGCCTGGCTGTTCCCGAAGGACTAGAGATGCCTCATCAAACCAAGCCAGACCCTCTTTCTGGGCTTCGAGCGTTTAAGGAAACTGAGGCTGAGGGGGGAGGGACCGTGCCCACGGTGAGCCCAGCACTGCATCTGGGAAGAGCAGGAGGGGAACGGGGCAGGCACAGGGCGAGAAAATGCAGACCAAGGCCCGTGCTGCGGTTCTCTTGAAGATCTCCATGGAAGAGGCCCTGTCTCACATCCTGTCCCTAAACACACTGTTTAAATGCTTCCACCAAGTGCAACTGAAGTTTCAGCAAGAAAGGGCCCTGCCGCCCGGCCCCGGCCGGCCGGCCGGCCGAGCAGCCTGAGTTCAGACCCCGCCCTGAAGCTCCTCGGCTGCTTGCCCCTTGCCAGGCCCCTCTCGGCTCCTGAAAGATCAGGGTAGACTCACCTGCTGCCCAGAGTTGGGGAGAGGACAGCTGGGCGGGGGACCCCGGGCCCGGTGAGGTCCACAGGGAGAGAACGAAAGGGGGTTGAAGGCAAGAAGAGCGGCCAGCAGCCAGGCCCGCCTGCCGGGAGGACTCACTTGCTTTCTCTCCCCCCCTCTCTCCTCAACGCTCGCCCGCCTCCGCCCCAGCATCAGAACAATTCCAAGAGTTCGCCCAATTCCAAGACCAATTTTAACCACCACATAAATTCAAACCACGTCAATTCGAACTCCACCGGAAGCAGCTAGTTTCAGCCCTGGCCTGGAGGTCCACGCAGGAGCAGCCCAGACCCGTCCCCCGGGCAGCGGAAGGTGACGGGGCGCAGCAGGCGGACGCGCGCCCTGGGGGCCAGGGAAGGCGGCGGCCCCCCTCGACATCGGGCCTCGGGGTGTCTCAAAGAGATTTCCACTCAGGTCAGTTTTCAGAGGCGGCCGTCAGGCCAGGTGGACCGGATTTGTCTCTGTGGAACATTGCAATAGAAATCCATTCGGATACGACAACTTGCACGTATTTTAATAGCGTCATGATTAGAACTGAATTTTGTCTTTATTATTTTTAAAGAAAAGTTTTGTAAATTTCTCTATTGTCTCAGTTTACATTTTGTATATTTGTATTTAAATGAAAGTCAGACTTTGAGGGTGTATATTTTCTGTGCAGCCACTGTCAAGCCATGTGTTCTAAGACATCGGGTGGGGAGCAAGCCAGGGGGACTCACGCAGGAAAAATAATGTGACTCAAGCCTTCCAGAGCCTCAAATGAGAAAACGTTTTTATTAAATGTAGACAATGATTCACATGCCACCGTGAAGGACTGGCCGCGTCCATCCTGTGAGCACCTGCCATCCAGACCGCCGTCCTGTGGGCTGGTGGCCACGGGCACCCAACGTGGACTTCACCCCCAGCCAGGGCGCCCCGCGGGGCCTCGGTGTGGAAGGGGGTGCCCCCCCTCTGTGCGTGCGCACACGGGCCACCCCGCTCCGGAAGCCGCCCGTGCAGGTGCCGGGTGCCGGCACAGGGCTCCAGGCTCCCCGCTCTCAGCAGGGCTCACTGCGAAAGCCGGTCTGTTTTGAGACTTTGGGGGGGGGAGTTTTTGTTTGATCCTGTCTTAGAGACAAGTACAGCGAGATAGCAGGTCGTCACGGAACCCCAAGTGTCCCAAACCCCAGCAGCCCGTAGAAGCATCAGGAAAAAGTCCCGGGGGAAGTCCAGGATGAGTGTGCACGAGGGCAGGGTGGCTGCCCAGAGAACTTCGCGAGGCCCCACAGGAGCCCTGGGCCTGGTGGCGCAGATGGGGGTGGCTCACTCAGCAACTGGGAGGCCCCGGGAGAGGCTGTCCCCCTCCCAAGAAGCTCAAGACAGACTCACTGACACTTCCCAGGAGAGCTGACCAAGACGAGCTCGCACTGGGCGTCTCAAAATTCAGGCACCAGTAGCCCCTGCACCTGGCGGCTACCTCGGGCCAGGGCTGCTGAAGGCCACCACGGCCACCCCCTCCCAGGGAGCCCCGACTGCCCCCGCTGCCTCCACAAGGGGACCAGCAGCAGTTGGCCCCTCTGTCCCCTCGGGACAGGGTGAGCCCCTGACCTTTCCGCCCCCCTACCCGGCTGGGTCCCCGGTAGCCAGGTGAGCCCAAGTCTCAGACACCCTAGGGTGGGCCCATACCACCCGCTTCACCTGTTAACATGCAGACTCCCAGGCGCCACCCCAGACCTGCAGAACGGGAGTATCTGGGAGCAGGGTGCTGGAATCTGCATCCTTAGAAACTTGGGGGCCAGAGTGTGAGAGCCACTCCCGGGCGGGCTCTGGGTGTGACGGCCCGAAGGCATTTCTGCAGGTGACCCTGGAGCCAGTGATGTGGCCACCTTGCCGACGGGTGCTGGGCGCGTGGCTCCCCGAGCTGCAGGGCCCGCCGTGTTGAGGTCCTCCTACGACAGATGGGCGAGAAGACAGCGGGCTCCGGGCTTCCCTTGGTGCACAGTATTCTTTTCTGTCGACCAGCTCTTGTTTCGCCTAAACACAAGACAAATAAATATCCCTGGCTACGTGCCAAGGAGGCTGAAAGCTCTTTGAGCCGCAGTCTCAGGCCCTCTAGCTCTTGCTGAACCTCCGTTCTGTTACGGCAGTTTCCCAGGGAAACCAGAGGGCGCTCAGAGGGGTGGAGAGAGAGGTTTACTTGTCACCCCGGCGGGCTCGGTGGGATCAGTCCCAAAGGGCTGAGCCCCGAATTCCAGGAAGGGTGAGGTTTTACGCAGCTTGTGTGAGGAACCTTGGCACCCCATCATCCCAGCATGAGCGCCTTTATCGTTTGGGAAGGGGTCAGGGGAGCCACAGCTACTGCTGTGGACAAGCAGCCGCCGAGGGAACTTTCTGCCCCAGCATAAAGCAGAAGCCAAGCCACGGACTCCAGCAAGCAGCCGGCCTGGGAAGAGGCAGCATCCACGCAGACTTGGGAGACTTCTGCTTCGTTTCTTACAAAAGGGGTGGCCGTCTTCCTGAGAGGTCACAGCCCCCACCCACCCCGCCTGCCCGAAGTTTCGTCCATTTTGCCCACGACACAGCAGCCTCGCTGACTGGTCGGAACTGAGGAGCTGGTGTTCCAGCGCCACCCGTCCGTGTGGGCTAGAGGCTCTGCAGGGAGCCAGCGGGCAAGCTCAGCCCTGCTCGGTGCCCTGTCACGAAGGGGGCTGGGCCCCAGGGGTCCCGGGACGGGTGGGCGTCACGGCCTTCCCGGCCCTGCTCCTACTGGCCCAGGCTGGTACGAGGGGCTCGTGGCACCGCGCCGACACCAGCCGGCCCCGTTGCGGCCTCGGCACCGGCCCGGACCTGCGCCCCCGTCCTCCAGCCTGTTTTCTGCAACGACACTTTTTTAAAGACTTTTTCATATTAAAAGCAAAGGCCACCTCCTCCCACACCGCCTGTGTGCTTGAGGGCGGTGGACGATTGGAACCTTCTCTGCTGCCTTGAGCTCCCCAGCGCCCTTGCTGGCCTCTCCCCGGCTGCCTGCTGGCCCCCGCTGAGGTGAGGCGCGGCTCCTTCTGGAGATGAGCTGGTGCCCGGCGGGGTGGGGCGGACTCTGCCATGGTCAGCGCAGCCAGCGAGGGTTGCTGGAGCCGAGGGGCCCACCGCAACCATCCTCTCCGGGAGCCCCGGCCCGCTTCATGGAGGGCGGCGTCCATGAAGGTGGGAAGGTGGGAAGGTGTCCCTGAAGCCAGGAGGCTTGGGGGCTGTGGCCCGTACAGCGGCTCACATGGGTGGGGTGCCTGGGTCCGCCTCACGCTGCCCTCTGGAGGAGGCTGCACCCCCCAGGAGGACCATGTGGCCGGTCACCTGCAGCGGGACGGGCAGCCGGTGTGGGCAGTGTGGACGGGGGGTGTGGACTCCCCTGGGCTCGGAGGGCGCGTGGGCTGTGGCTGGCTGCCTGCGAGCTTAGGCCGCTGCGGGTGAGAGGGGCAGCTTCAAGCCTCTGCCCACGCTGGCCCTGGGACGTTGTCTTGCCTCTCCACACCTGCCCTCTCCCGGGGGGCTTGCTCCCCTCAGGGCTGCTGCCCAGGCCTCTGTGCAAAGGGAGAACCCCAGCCTCTCCCGAGGGAACAGCGGCCTCGTGGACAGGAACCCCAGGCAGGGTGCTGGCGGGCCAAGCATGGGGTCTTTTTTGGGGTACTCCCTCTTTTCATAACCCCTCACTTGAGATGGGACCTCCTCCTGCCGAGCCTTGGTTCTGGAAAGTGAAATCTGTGCATTGGGAAGCAACACGGCTGTGGCGTGAGCAGCAGGGAGCCAGCGGCTTCCCCATCCCAGCTGACAGTGTGGGGCAGCCTCTTCCCCCACACCCCCGTGACAGCCGGAAACCCAGGCTCCGGCTCTGGCTTGCACAGCCATCGGCCCCCAGTGGGGTCAGACCCTACCCAGGCCTGGGGCTGTCTCTGCCCCACCTCCACGCTGCCTCCAGGACCCTGCTCAAGCATCTGGCTCTCCCAGGGAGGGAAAGACACTCCCAGAAGCATCTGAATGTCTTCCCCCGTCCGTCCATCGATAACTTGTTCCGGGAATAAATCAAAACAAAGGTCCTCCATTAGAAGACCGTGGCTGTTGGTATTGTGACAATAATAGCCCTTCTAGTATCCAAAGGTTTCTGTTTTTTTCAGGGAAATTTTAACTTTGATGAATGAAAATAGTTCCATTTCAGAGGTCGCTCCTGAGGGCGACAGCTTCTGTTCTCTGCTGCTCTGGATCTTTGTACGTTCCGTCTGACTGTCACAGTGCTGCTGTACCTAGAGCCAACCACTGTCGTTTTTTTAAGAGAAATAAATTCCTTGAAGAAAAGAACGCTGCGTCTCTTGCCTGCTGCTGTTGTTCCAGACCTTGTGCCTGAGACAGTCGCCCCCATGACTGCCGCGACCTCGGCTGACCCCTTTCCTCCAAGGCCAGCTCGGCCCACCGCACCTGGCCGCCCCCTCCCCGACCCCCCGAGCTGCCCCCCCAAGGCACCATGAATGGCCCGGATGAAGTCACCATGGAGCCCTCCGCAGATCCTTCGACGGACTCCAAACCCAGCAGATGACCCCTGGCAGGAGTGGGGGGAAGAGGGCAGGTGGGGGGAGGGGGCACCCAGGGGCCTGAGCACCTCTGTTGGCTGCTTTACATGACAGAGGCCCTAACTCCGAGGGGGTCTGCAGAGTGGGGCCCTCTGGCTGCCCAGCCACACGCTGGACCTGGCACTCAGCTGGGCAGGACAGTCCAGGGCCACAGTCCTAGTCTCAGACCTACGGGCTGGTCTTCCCCGTGACCTGCTGGGCTTAGTGCGAACCAGCGGGGCTCTGTACTCAGCCCCTGCTGTCTGTGAACTGCACTAAGCCTGAACTCAGCGACGTGGGGTCATTCCTGCACGTCTCTGAACCCCACTTGATCCTTGGCCTCGTATAGAGTAAATGCAGTCGGTCAGGCCTTCCCACCTTTGGCCTCTGGTTTCACCTGTGTCCTCGGCCTTGTTAACATAGAGGGCACATGGGGGGAGGCACGCGGCCCTGACTGGACACCTGAGCGTGTTTGTGTGCAGGTGCGCACACCTGTGCCGGGGACGGGGCTGGAAGGGCAGGTTGCCGTCTCCCTGCTGACTGGTTTCCCTGCTCACCATTCAGCCCTGTGGAGACGACGCCAAGTGCTCGGAAACCCTACGAATTGCTGGAGCTGACGAGAACCTCCCTGCCTGGGTGGTTGCCAAACGCCTCCGGCCGGCCGAGGCAGGGGATGGGGAGTCTGAGGGTGCCGTCTCGCCCCAGTCCAGCCTGGGAGCTGACGGTGCCCCAGCACCTGCACCGGGAGTCAGGGCTGTAGTTTCTGCCCTGCTCCTGGCGGGGGTTAGGGTCGAGGCTGCGGTCCGGGGCCAGGCTCTAGGGCTGGGTGGGGTCGGGGCCCGGGGGCCATCTCACACAGAAGGTAGCAATTGCAGGATGTCTTCCCCTGGGCTCCCAGAAGCAGGTGTCTTTCCTTAGTAGGGGAAGGCTCAAGGAGGATTCTGCTTGCTGGGGACTCTGGGATTGGTGAGGAAAAGGGGGCACTGGTTACCAAAGGGGCTCTGACTGGGGGGAGCCGGGAGGCCTGAGGCTGGAGAGCTAAGGGGCCTGACAGCGAAGGGCTGGCTGAGACGAGGCCAGAGAGTGGAGGGGTGGGCAGACGTCCCCTCGCGGGGAAGGGAGCTCACTTCCTCACAGGCTGTCTGCTCAGCGGTGCCAGTGCTCTTCCTCAGCCATCTCCCACCACTCCAGAACTTCCTCTGCCTGAGCCAAACTCCCAGGCAGACAGAAGCTCCTTGGAAGCAGGTGTCAGCTGAGACCCGAGCCGGGGGGCCAAGGGGAGAGACTTTCGCGGGAAGGACTATTGCAAAGGAGGGAAGAAGCTTTGCCGCAGCGGTGGGAAATACTGCAACAGGACGTGTGCTTGACTCAAGATGGTCCAGCTTCTCGCGGCAGGGGTCTCCTCTGGAGCAGTGAGCAAGGCACCAGCCCCAGCACCCCGCTCCCCTCGAGTTCTTTCTAGAGAAGAGAATGGTTTTCCCGAGACCTGCCTGTTCTCAGAGGAGCTCACGCCGGAGGGAAGGTGCATTCAGGTCCTGGAGGGAGGAGAGACGTCTGATCAAAGCTTGGTAACAGGCATTTTATTCCAGTGGCTCCGTAGGATGAGAGTTGAGCTATCACTTAGAGTCAAAACGAACCTGGAGCGTCTGGCCTGGTCGTAGGTGAACACAGGGGTGTCGTGAGACTTGCCAAGTCACGGGGTACGGGGGTGTGGGGAGTCAGCTGAATTCCAGGACACAAAGGGGCAAGTGCACTTTTTTTTTTTTTTTTTTAAGATTTTTATTTAGGCCCTCCCTGGTGGCGCAGTGAGTTAAAGCACAGCACTAAGAAGCTAAAGCCACTTCTACATGAGTTCGATCCCCACTTGCCCCGGAGGTGACCCACACGGCGCAGCAGACCTCTCCTGACCCGCCCGCTGCTCCCCTCAGCAGTGGACTTCCACCATCTGCCTGTTCTGCTCCCCACTCTGCCCCGGTGAGTCCTCTCACCGCCCCTGCACGTCTGACCTGTACCCCAGTTCTGTATGCATAAATAAATAAATCTTTTTTAAAAAATTTAAAAAAAATATTACGATTCACTAGAGTGTTAGTTATAAAATGAACATATGTATACAACTGTCTATTACAATATATTGTAGGATAAAACAAGTAATCCTGTCAATATCACTAAGAGCAAACAAACACTGTCAGTGTAAGAAAGAATAAAAATGAATCCAACACAAAGTCAACTTTAAAAATTTAAATATTTCAACAATAATAATGAACAGCTATATACCAGAGACATTTTATGGGGTGGAGTGGGGAATGGGGTCAAGAACAGTGGGGAGAAGGAACTGCACTGGACTGTGGTGATGGCACACGGGTGATTTGGTGATGGGAAGCCCAAGGGGATTACAACTGAGATGGAAAAAAGGCTCAAAATAATGGAAAATAAACTATTATGTTATTTTAAAAATAAAATAAATTTTAAAAATTTAAATATTTCTATACTACACTAAATTATCACTGCCAGAGATTAAAGGCATTAAGGAAGATACAGCTGTGAAATGGGAAGTTCAATTTTGTCCATTTCCCCCCAACTTGGGCTATAAACATTGCAATTCTAATCAAAGCCTCAGCAGACGTTTTGTATAAATTGATCATCTGAGGTAGAAATGTACATAAATCTGTCTCAACCTAGAATAACCAAAACAATCTTCAAAAAGAATAAAATTGGGTGAATTATGCTATTATGCTGCATATTTTAGGACTCACTAGAAACCAATAATATTAAGCAAAGTATTGGGGAGCTGGCCTGGGACAGACAAAAGGAGGGAGCAGAATAGACCAGCCAGAAATAGACGCACGCTTGTGTGACCATGGCTTTCAACAAAAGACTTGAAGCAATTCAGTGCGGAAGGAAAAGCTTTTCAACAAAGGATGCTGGATCGGCTGTATTGCTGCATAAAAAAGTTTGAAAAGTAAAACTGATGATGGGGTTTTTGTTATCTTTTAGCAATACAGGCGGAACTATTTTGGACCAATGATCTCATGTCTTGCTCCAAAATAATTGGGGAGTGAGGAGGATGAGCTGGGGACGACTCGACAATCAGGAGGTTTTTTTTTTAAAGATTTATTTATGCGTACAGAACTGGGGTACAGGCCAGAGGTGCAGGGGCAGCGAGAGGCTTCACCAGAGACAGAGAGGGGAGCAGAACAGGCAGATCGACAAGTCCATGGCTGAGGGGAGCAGCGGGCGGGTCAGGGGAGGTCTGCTGCACCATGTGGGTCACCTCCGGGGCGGGGATTGAACGTGCTGAAGCCGCTGTAGCTTCTAAGTGCTGCACTTTAACCCTGCGCCACCAGGAGGCGCCCCCAGGAGTTATTTTTAAAGAGTGGCGCTTGCAACACCGGAAGCGAGGGGAGCCCACGGTCAGAGGCCTTCCAAGAGGGGCGCTGAGTCTCCAACTGCCCTCCGGCCTGCCTGCTTCTAAGCAAGCGCCCCTTGGGAGCTCACACCACGCTCCCTGTCCCCCACCGCCTCTCTCACTCTGCCCACGGACAATCAGGAGACCGAGGCCAGGCAGGGCAAGCAGTGGGCAGTGCAGAAGTG